TAAACTGGAGGAATGGTCTAGAAAATGGCTGCTGAAGTTCAACTCTGGAAAGTGTAAGGTGATGAAATTAGGCGGAGGGAGCAGGAGGCTGAACACAAGGTATCATCTGGGAGGGGAAATCCTGCAAGAATCAAATAGAGAGAAGGATCTGGGGGTTGATATCACACCGAACCTGTCCCCAGAGGCCCACATCAAAAGAATATCATCAGCGGCATATGCTAGACTGGCCAACATAAGAACTGCCTTCAGAAACTTGTGTAAGGAATCTTTCAGAACCCTGTATACCACTTATGTAAGACCAATCCTGGAGTATGCAGCTCCAGCCTGGAGTCCATACCTAGTTAAACACAAGACAAAGTTAGAGAAGATTCAGCGGTATGCCACCAGGCTCGTCCCGGAACTGAGAGGATTGAGCTACGAGGAAAGGCTAAAGGAGCTGAACCTCACAACCCTGGAAAACAGAAGAGTAAGGGGAGACATGATAACCACCTACAAAATTCTCAGGGGAATTGACAGGGTGGACAAAGACAAACTCTTCAGCACGGGTGGGACACGAACAAGGGGACACAGGTGGAAACTTAGTACCCAGATGAGCCACAGAGACGTTAGAAAGAATTTCAAGCACCGGCCCCGCCCCACACAGAGAACACTGGGGAGCCCCAGGAGTCCCTCAGGGTGACAAGCACCAGCCCCGCCCCACACAGAGAACACTGGGGAGCCCCAAGAGTCCCTCAGGGTGACAAGCACCAGCCCCGCCCCACACAGAGAACACTGAGTTTTGTGTCTGACTCTCCAGACACAAAACAGAACGCTTTAAAAGAGACTAACGTCGTCTATGCCTTCAAATGCCCACTTGGGGACTGTAAGCTCCAAAAAACCCAGTATATAGGCAAGACAACAACATCTCTTTCTAGGCGTTTAACGATGCATAAGCAACAGGGCTCCATTAAGGAACATATAATCTCTTCCCACAACCAAACCATCGCCAGAGAAATCCTAGTAAACAACACAGAAATCATCGATAGATACAGCGATAGCAGGCGGCTTGACGTTTGCGAGGCACTACACATCAAGAAGTCAACACCAGCAATCAACAGCCAATTATTGCACAACTATATTCTACCCACCTCAAGACTCCGCTCCAATATAGAAGCATCAAGAAATATGGACCAATAGGCTTTCTACAAACACTTCTATTCAATACCCATTGTTTGTGTTCTGTCTTGTGTTGATACTTTTAATACCCTATTAATATCCCCTCTTGTTCTGTCTTGTGTTAATGCCACATCACCCCTCCCACCTCACTCAAATGTAGATATAAAATCTGAGATACGTAAGTTCTATTCAGTTGTGTATTTGTGAACTAAAGTCTTTGAAAATGTAATAAGTTTTACGAAACGCGCCCGTGTCGCGTCAGACTAGAAATAAAAATGAGTTTTGGAGAATTAATTTTTGATTTACCTCCAACAGTGAAGCGTAATGTACGAAAGATTGAGAAAATTCGTGTTAGAATTATTAATCTTACTTTTTCGGTCATATTTAATAATATATGTCTACAGGAAAGACTGCTACCAAAATATACTAATATATATATATATATATATATATATATATATATATATATATATATATATATATATATATATATATATATATGTCGTACCTAGTAGCCAGAACGCACTTCTATGCCTACTATGCATGGCCCGATTTGCCTAATAAGCCAAGTTTTCATGAATTAATTGTTTTTCGACTACCTAACCTAACCTAACCTAACTTTTTCGGCTACCTAACCAAACCTAACCTATAAAGATAGGTTAGGTTAGGTTAGGTAGGGTTGGTTAGGTTCGGTCATATATCTACGTTAATTTTAACTCCAATAAAAAAAAATTGACCTCATACATAATGAAATGGGTAGCTTTATCATTTCATAAGAAAAAAATTAGAAAAAATATATTAATTCAGGAAAACTTGGCTTATTAGGCAAATCGGGCCATGCATAGTAGGCCAAAAAGTGAGTTCTGGCTACTAGGTACGACATATATATATATATATATATATATATATATATATATATATATATATATATATATATATATATATATATATATATATATATATATATATATATATATATATATATATATATATATATATATATATATATATATATATATATATATATATATATATGAATGAAAACTCACACCCCAGAAGTGACTCGAACCCATACTCCCAGAAGCAACGCAACTGGTAACTACAGGGCGCCTTAATCCGCTTGACCATCACGGCCGTCAAAAGGAAGTGATAGCCGAGGCTATTTGAGCCACTTCCCCGACGGCAACTCGGATGGTAATCTTGGGCATAGCATTTCACCAAATCACCTCATTCTTTGGGGCACACGTGAGGAACACAAATGCGAACAAGCCTGAATGGTCCCCAGGACTATATGCGAATGAAAACTCACACCCCAGAAGTGACTCGAACCCATACTCCCAGAAGCAACGCAACTGGTAACTACAGGGCGCCTTAATCCGCTTGACCATCACGGCCGTCAAAAGGAAGTGATAGCCGAGGCTATTTGAGCCACTTCCCCGACGGCAACTCGGATGGTAATCTTGGGCATAGCATTTCACCAAATCACCTCATTCTTTGGGGCACACGTGAGGAACACAAATGCGAACAAGCCTGAATGGTCCCCAGGACTATATGCGAATGAAAACTCACACCCCAGAAGTGACTCGAACCCATACTCCCAGAAGCAACGCAACTGGTAACTACAGGGCGCCTTAATCCGCTTGACCATCACGGCCGTCAAAAGGAAGTGATAGCCGAGGCTATTTGAGCCACTTCCCCGACGGCAACTCGGATGGTAATCTTGGGCATAGCCAAGATTATTCGCATATAGTCCTGGGGACCATTCAGGCTTGTTCGCATTTGTGTTCCTCACGTGTGCCCCAAAGAATGAGGTGATTTGGTGAAATGCTATGCCCAAGATTACCATCCGAGTTGCCGTCGGGGAAGTGGCTCAAATAGCCTCGGCTATCACTTCCTTTTGACGGCCGTGATGGTCAAGCGGATTAAGGCGCCCTGTAGTTACCAGTTGCGTTGCTTCTGGGAGTATGGGTTCGAGTCACTTCTGGGGTGTGAGTTTTCATTCGCATATAGTCCTGGGGACCATTCAGGCTTGTTCGCATTTGTGTTCCTCACGTGTGCCCCAAAGAATGAGGTGATTTGGTGAAATGCTATGCCCAAGATTACCATCCGAGTTGCCGTCGGGGAAGTGGCTCAAATAGCCTCGGCTATCACTTCCTTTTGACGGCCGTGATGGTCAAGCGGATTAAGGCGCCCTGTAGTTACCAGTTGCGTTGCTTCTGGGAGTATGGGTTCGAGTCACTTCTGGGGTGTGAGTTTTCATTCGCATATAGTCCTGGGGACCATTCAGGCTTGTTCGCATATATATATATATATATATATATATATATATATATATATATGTGTGTGTGTATATCACGAAAATAAACACGTGATTAAGAATGTGACAATGTCAGACCACGGAGGAAAAATGAAACAGGAAATTTTCTTAAGTACTTTCGTATATTAAATACATCTTCAGAAGGTCATTTTACAGATCGAGTGATGGGTATAAATAGGCAGGAGAGAGTGGTGAAGTAAGGTGAGGTACCTCACCTTACTTCACCACTCTCTCCTGCCTATTTATACCCATCACTCGATCTGTAAAATGACCTTCTGAAGATGTATTTAATATACGAAAGTACTTAAGGAAATTTCCTGTTTCATTTTTCCTCCGTGGTCTGACATTGTCATATATATATATATATATATATATATATATATATATATATATATATATATATATATATATATATCGATAGATACAGATAGTACAGATAGATAAACACTGCGTCCGTGGAAGGGTGGCAGGCAGTTAGCATGGGACTATACTTGTGTATCCACCCTGGCAACCACATACATCACCCTCTCTGCCGGCACAGCAGGAGCCGCAGCGACACACAGAGAAAAACAAAAGGCAGTCAAGTACAGGCAATTAGATCAACGGTACAACTTCGTTCCAATAGGGTCTGAGACCCTAGGTCCATGGGGTGAGAGTGCAAGAAGGTTTCTTAAGGATCTTGGTTCCAAGCTCATTGACACCACAAGAGACCCTAGAGCAGCAAGTTTTCTCTTTCAGCGCCTCAGTGTCGCGATCCAGAGGGGGAATGCCCGCTGCATCCTCGGTTCCTGCCCGGCGTCGGAGGAGTTCGAGGAAATCTACAGCCTCTAGGAAGCGAACTTTTTCTTGTGTCCTCTTAATGTTAATTTTTTGCATAAAATCAGATATGTAACTGTATAACCTTGCATAATAAAGTGTACACCATAATAAAAAAAAGGGGGTGGTAGGAGAAGCGAACACTCTTTCGTATTCAAAGTTAAATGGCAAGTTTTTCCCTGAATGCTCTGTGTTCCCTTCTCTGAGGCTAAGGGTCCCTATAATTGCACCAGTGGTGGTACCCCCTATATATATATATATATATATATATATATATATATATATATATATATATATATATATATATATATATATATATATATATATATATATATATATATATATATATATATATATATATATATATATATATATATATATATATATATATATATATATATATATATATTAGTTGCGAAATTAAAGATATGCCAATTTTTTATTAATTAAAATTAGCTACACAGCAATGGGTTGCTTCCCTATTCTATATGAGATATTACACAGTGTAGATCAAAAACTAGCTATAGCTTCATATATAAATAAATAAATATATGCAATATAGGCCTATATAAAAAAGGTAAGCAATAGCAGAATATATAAGCCACAATTCCATAGCAGTGAAGACTAGTGGCAGGCCACAAGCGTGTACACACGATACAGATAAGGCCTGCGAGGGGGGGGGGGGCATGTGTGTGTGGGGGGGATTATAGATAAGGCTTGAGAACAGCCATATTGGTTGTGTAGGAGAGATATAACAGAGCCGCCCGGAGGGGAGACTCAAGCATTCTTCTCCCTGCCTCCGCCCTCGTCTCTTGTCACACACCTTCATTTTCCTCAACCTCTGTCGTGTCTGGTCGCCTTTACAAGCTACAGGTATGGTGTGGTTCCTGTGCTGGCCTCGTGTTGTTCATGCTAATATCTTAATTGTATTTAATTGCCTCGTAATTGTGTGTTCATTTCCAAACGTCTTTGTTATGAATCCTTCAGCCGGTTATAATTCGGTCGCTTGAGTCATATGGGTGTTTACATATATATGTATATATATATATATATATATGTACTATGATTAGTGTGTTTTAGCACCCCCAATGCAGGGTAATTGATATTAAAAAAAATAATTAATATATTATATTAAATCGACGGTTGATATATAAGGTTTTTAAGGATCTAAACGCCGGTATTATTATTATTGGGTTCACAGAAAACGTGTTGTGGAGCATGGCAGGGGGTACTACGCCAGCCGCGGGGGTCCTCTTCCTCGTCCTCCTGATGGTCCTCCTGCAGCGGTCCTTCGCACTGGTGAGATGCCTCTTTTGCTGTAATTACTTGTGTGGATAGAGTAATGCATGAGTGAGGTTGGTGGGACAAGTGAGGTATGAGTGAGACTGGTTAGACGTGTGACACTGGTGAGTAAGACATGAGGTAATGAGTGAAATTGGTGAGTGTGTTAAGTGATGCATGACCTCATCTTCATAAAAACACAGTTGCTTTGGAGAAAGTGCAACACCGGGCAACAAAAATCATTCCAGAGCCAAGTCAACTCACGTATCAGGAACAATTAATTGGTCACAGGGCTAATAACACTTCAAACCAGGCATGACAGGGCGGAGTAATGGCATGTACGACTTCGGCGGGTAGGCGGTTCCACGGATTTATTTAACCCTGTGGGTGAAGTAAGACACAAGTGAGACTTTTGAGTAATACAAGTAAGACATGGATAAGATTAGTGAGTAAGACAAGTGAGATATGAGTGAGACTGGTAACACAAGTACAGTATATTTATATGAAACTGGTAAGACAATTGAGCTATGAGATTAGTGAGACAATTGAGCTATGAGATTAGTGAGACAATTGAGCTATGAGATTAGTGAGACAATTGAGCTATGAGACTGGTGAGTAAAAGAATTGAGCTATGAGACTAGTGAGTAAGACAATTGAGCTATGAGACTGGTGAGTAAGACAATTGAGCTATGAGACTGGTGAGTAAGACAATTGAGCTATGAGACTGGTGAGTAAGACAATTAAGCTATGAGACTGGTGAGTAAGACAATTAAGCTATTGTACTGGGGAGTAAATGAACTGAGCTATAATAATAATAATAATAATAACCCAGAATGTAGAATAACCTTTCCAATCATGTCAAAGGCTGTACTTCACTCAACAAGTTTAGGAGGAAAACTAAGTACTACCTAATAAACTCCATGTAATCTACCTTACCTCTTAAATGTCAACCCATGTCCTGCTATTTTCAAACAATACTGTTTGTTGACCAACTTGTATAATTGTTGATTTCTGTCATATTCCAAATTCAAATTCAAAATTAAAAAAATCTGTCTAATCTTCCACCCCCTCTTCCCTTATTTTCTTTCTTTTTTCAACACAGTTTATACTTTAATCTCAATTAGTATTTAGTTTTGGTCTAAGTGTTTTCCCCCCACACCTTGCACAAAATGCTGAGTGTATTAGTGGCTTTAGGTATTGTATATACTAGCTCTATCAATAATTCCAACATTATGTTTGTAACTCATCTATGTATATACTTTTACCTGAATGAACATTTTGATATTTGATTTTGAATAATAATAATAATTTATTCACAAGTACAATGGGTTTGACATATTACATAAGATTGGTATTTGTACATTCTTGCAAAGCCACTATTATGCATAACATTTTGGGCAGGCCCTTAATCTAACATTAAGACTGTTCCTCAGAGTTCAGTTCAGACATTATTACTCAGTTCCAAATTCTGCTCTCCTCTCATTATACTATGCTCTAATCTATCCCTATCTTACATACAGTATCTGTGCAAGGGGTTCAACCACTCCAAACTACCTCAAGCCCATCATCACCCAGCAAAAATCTCCTATCAGAACAATAACAAACTGTTTTCAGACAACACTCAACCCCCTTGTTTAAATCCCTAAACATGCTAAACATAAACTCACTCCACACATTCTCTTGTACCATCTACATTTACCAAACCCTGTTCTTAAATCCAAACCCTGCTCTGAAACTCTTCCTGGACAGATGTAATAGGACCCATAATCACCACACCAGAAATAAATATCACTGATATTCCCAGAGTCAAACTCAATCTGTGCAAAAACTATACAAATAAAGGGACCAAGTCTATGGAACTCACTCCCAAATGAATTAAAAAGCTGTCAAACTTTTGCCTTATTCAAAAACAAAACCAAGAAGTACCTAATTTCATCCTCATAGTTTCCTACCTAGTGCTTTAAACTCGCACTGTATCTAGTGCTGCCCACTCCCCCAATATATGTACCTAAGCCATACAACTTTACCATTGTAATTACTGCTATCATCTTATATCATGGTTGTTATACTGAATGCATATTTTACTACATTATACCTAGAAATAATCCTCAAATTAGGCTACATTGTACCTGTTGATAATTCTCAAATTTTACTATAACTTACTTACTAATCGTCATCAAATTTTCTTACAATGTACCTGTTAACATTTCTCAGTTTTGCTAGATTTGACTTACAGTACTTAGTTTTATCTGTTAGATTAAAGACCTGCCCAAAATGCTATGCATGTTAGTGGCTTTACAAGAATGTAAAAACATCAATGCTATGTACTCTCATAAACCCAATGTACCTTCGTATATATATAAATAAATAAATAACATATCAGGTAAGGTGAAAAGGTAGAGGGTAGCAAAATTTAAATCAACATATAACTACAATATAAATTGATAGAGGTGATTACACTGGTGAAGATATATGTCTTAAGAACTATTATTGGAGAAGTGGATAGTACAAGATACAGTTTGAGCTTCAAACATAAGGTAGGAAACTATAATGATGAAATTAGGTACTTTTTGGTTTTACTTTTGAATAAGACATAGGTTGGACAATTTTGTAATTCATTAGGGAGTCAGTTCCACAGACTGGGTCCTTTTATTTGCATGGAGTGTTTGCACAGATTTAGTTTGAATCTGGGGATATCAAAGATATTTTTTCTGGTGGTGCTCATGGGTTCTATTGCACCTATCACAAAAAAGTTTCAGATCAAGATTAACATTTAACATTCAAGATTAACATAACAGGGTTTTGTACATGTAGGTAGCACATGTAGGTAGCACATAATAATAATAATAATAACCCAGAATGTAGAATAACCTTTCCAATCATGTCAATTATGTGTGGAGTGAGTGTATGTTTAGCATGTTAAGGGAATTAAACAGAGGGGCTGTGTGTTGTCTGAAGACAGTTTGTTATGGTGCTGATAGCAGATTTTTGCTGAGTGATGATGGGCTTGAGACTGGTGAGTAAAACAACTGAGCTATGAGTGAAACTGGAGAGTAAGAAAAGTTGTAGCCAAAACTATTGAGCTTCTATGGATTTAGAACTCTTGCCAGTTATTAAATGATAGGATTTGATAGATATTAGAATGGTTTGAAAAAAATTATGAATACTGATTAGAAATGCGTTGAGAGAGGACAAAGTGAGGTTATACCATTCCTCATTCAATGTACGTTAAATGTATCAAATTTTTTGTCATGAGCTGGTCTCTGTGTATTTATGAAAAGTAAACAAGTAATTATCAAAAGAAGAAACCAAGCCAGGGAGACTATGTAGTGTGTTTATGAAAAGCTATTAGTGGTAATCTCCAGCCATTAGTTAACAGCGGAGAACTGTGGGTAACCTACTTATAGAAATGCCATGCTGGCATTCATTAATTTATGTAGATCAAGTTATGAAGCATATACAGGGATTGGCTACGTTGCATAGGGAGGCCTAAGGTGTTTGAACCAGAGCTTATGAATGGCCACTTTCCGAAAGAAGAGGGGCTTGTGTTGGCAATAATTTACCTGAATTTACATTAGGGGGCCACTATCTCTCTGGTGACCTTGACGAAGACAAGAAGCCGGTAGCTTGTCTAAGATCTCCCTATTTATCTTGAATTTATTCAACTGAATTTTGAATTGCAGCAATTTTTAGTATTTATGTCTTCAGTGAGTAGGCAGTTCTATGGATTTATAACCCGATAACCCTATGGGTGAAATAGAATTTCCTATTTTCTGTCCTACATATGGCTTGTTGAACTTGAAGCTGTTGACCCTTGTTTATTTTACATCTGACCCTTTAAAGTACAGTAGTAGTTTGATCAATATCCTCCAAATTGTTCAGTATTTTAAAGTTTCAACGAGATGAGTCCTACCATGTCTAATTTGCAGTGTTGTTAGCCCTGTGGCCTTAGGCCAGTGTGTGTTCATGTAGACTTAAAATTAGGAGGTTAAATTTGCTGTGAATTATGTACTGGTGAAGCATTCCTAGGTTCTTGAAATGCAATACAAATAAGTGCAAATTGAATGCATCAAGCTCCGAAGACTATGCAGCACCATCAGTATTGCTGCATAATGCATAGTATTAAGTGTTTTACCCCGATCCTCCACACTGTTAGTTAAACTTTGTGTTTATTTATTTTGTGTTTTGCCTGAAACAAATTGCGTAATAGTGGCTTCATTAGTATGTGTAACTCCTGTACCTACAGTTGTACATTATTCTCATGTTCTTTGTACACACATTTTTGTGAATAAACATTATTATTATTATTATTATTATTATTATTATTATTATTATTATTATTATTATTACTGTATTATTATTATTGGTTAATAGAATATGTTTTAAAACTAATTCTCTGTGTTCAGTACACTCAGGCTAGTGATTTGAAAGTCACTTCGTTCTACTGCATTATTAATATAAATAAATAAATAAATATATTTATTCAGGTAAGGTATATACATACAAGTGATGATACATTAATGGATTGATATATACATAGAGCTAGTACATACAATGCCTAAAGCCACTATTACGCAATGCGTTTCGGGCAAGAAAAACATTAATATCTAGAACTTAATACTAATTGAGCATAAAGAATAAAAAGTGTTTAGAACAAAAACAAATAAAGATAAAAAAAAGGGGAATATGGAAACAAAAAAAAACAAGGGGAACATATTATCCCATTTGAATTCATGCTGCCATATATATCTATGCCTAGCTTGTTATAGCCACTGATAATATTCCTTATTGCTGTCTTGGATTTAACTGGCATTTATCCTCCCAGTCAAGTTAGGGTGCTGAGGCACAGTGATTGAAATCATAAGTGTCTGACAAAATTGATCAATGATTAACAAAATAAACACTTAACAAATCCATGGATATACTGTACTGTACACTACAAGTTCTGTATACTTAACCCAGCAGTCCAAATCGTTAAGTAAATTACTGAAGTATTTCATGTGTGTTGCTTGTGAGTGAACTAACAAATTTTTTTTATATATACAAGAAAGTATAATGAGTTGTGAGAGTACATAACATTGGTGTTCTTACATTGTTGCAAAGTCACTAACACGCATAGTGTTTCAAGCAGGTCCTTAACCAAACCTGGTCGTGAGGTCATTAACCTCAGTGAATCGGTGAATTAAGTGAGTGATGTGTTATATTGCACATGGAAGATAAGCAATTGGCAAGGTGTCAGTACAGCAGCACACTCAAAGAATCAATAAAATCTTACAGATGCAAAATACCTGGGTTGTTGCAAGGTCAGGCATGAGTGAGAATGGTGCCATTAATAGATGAGGTGGACAAGTAAGGGATGACTATATAATACAATTGTGGCATGAGTAAGACAAGTGAAACACAAATTATAAGAAGTGATGATGAGTAATTATGCAAGTGTGGTATGAGTAATGCAACTGAGGGATGAGTAACATTGGGGAAATGAATTTGCTTCATAAGCTATCCATCCTGTAATCAATTCCAGTAACTTGTTTCACTCACTTTTTTCCTTTATAATAAATTATTTTGTGTTACTTTTTTCTCAAATATTTATTTATGAGTATTATGTACTTTCTCCATTTATTGTCTTCTAATTTCTAGTATTTCTTTGTTAGAGAGTTTACTCATGTCCTTTATGTACCTTGTTTATTTTTAAGTGTTGGCCCTATTGACATTAAATTACCATATTACTCTATTCTGTTATGGTCCAAACAAAATGTTATGAGAAAGGGTCCAGTTGCTTTTCTAAACTACACCCTGTATTTCCAATCTGTTATTAATGTAAATAAACTACTGTACTATTGTTTCAACTACTGACTCCATATTGTAATAGTCTATACCTGTCATCCTTAAGCATCACCTTTTTTGTATTCTTTTGTTATTTTCCATGAATGTTCTCACTTTGTTAGCTTATTTCTTCTTTAGTATTAAGTGTTTTACCCACTCACACCTTTATTCAGTTTCTTTGGTCTCTTTTATGTTTTTGCCCGAAATGCCTTGCGTAATACAGTAGTGGCTTAGTGGATTGGGTAACTCCTGTCCCTACAATTTGTACGTTGCTCCTATATTCTTTGGACACAGATTCTTTTGAATAATCATTTTATTGTATTGTAATGTTATGCTAGTTTCAGGGATAGATTTTTAATCAATGGCTGATTTATATTGTGTGTTAATTCTTATTTATTTATGACATTTCCATATTGTAACTTGTGTACTTAAAATTTTTTTTTAGAATATTTTTAAATTTTTATAATACAATTTTTCAGTTTTTATTAATCTATGGGTCGCACAAACTGAATTGAAGGATGGAAGCATATCTAATTTACAAATGCTTTTAAATTGTAATGCATATACTATATTCTACAGAAAAGTTCTTCAGCGAACAGGACTTTTGTGATTGACTATGACAATGACCAGTTCCTGAAGGACGGGCAGCCCTTCCGGTATATATCAGGTTCTATCCATTACTTTCGTGTCTTACCGTCCAGTTGGAGAGATCGCCTCAAGAAGATGCGCATGGCAGGATTCAATGCACTAGAAACGTAGGTTTTCCACAAGTGAAGTCTTATGGTGTATTGTGTATTATTTTTTATCTCCTTCCGTCATATAAATTACATTATAAGTTATTAAAGAACACCCAAAGTCCATTTAAACTACCACAAAAATACCAAGTGGAAGCCTTCTAATGCTGTATACTCTAGTAGGCTTCAGTATTTCAAGCCAAAAGTAGAAAAAATCACTAGTTATATATATATTTATTGCAAATTTGTTTACCAGTGATATTTGAAATTAACAAAATTGGTTAAGATTAGGAAAGGTTTAGTTAAGGTTAAGATAGGTTTGCCTCAATGTACCTGATGGCCACTATCTTTCTCTAGTGGCTTCAACAGGAAATGAATGCCGGAGGCTATCAAAGGTCTCCTTTGTTCCTGAGGATTTTTTTTCTAACTGGATTTTGAACTAAAGTAATTTCTTGCCATTTACAGCTTCAACAGGTAGGTGGTTCACTTGGCTGATAATAATTATTTTGTTTATAACACTATGGGTGAAAAAGCAACTCCTGTTTACTGTACTACATTGTGGTTTATTGAGCTTGAAGCTGTTGCCCCTTGTATGTGTTATATTTGACCTTTTAAGATAGTCATCTCTATTAATATTCCCTGATTTTCTCAGTACTGTATTTTAAAGTTCTTGAACAGAGCAGCCCTATCATGTCTGGTTTGCAATGTTGGTAGTCCTGTGGCCCTCAAAAATTTTTGGTATGAGAGTTGACTTAGTTCCATGATTTTTGTTGCTCTTGTGTTCATATGTCCATCTTAAGGCAGGTAGGTCTCCACGCTTGGAGTATAGTCGTCCAGATGGGGGAGCCCCAGAGACTTCTACAGTTGAATAGCCACTTTTTATTCCTTGAGGTCAAAAATTTTGGTTGAGGTTTGGGTATGTTTGGTTAAGCTTAGGAAAGGTTTGGTTGAGGCTTGCACATGTTTAGTTAAGATGAAGATAAGTTTGATATAGGTTTGGATAGGTTCACATTAGAGACCCAAGGCTTCTTGCAAAGGCCTTCTATAAATTGCTCCTCGACACATGTAAAATGCAAGTCTAGGTATAAAATGTTCAATAAATTGCTACTACTGTTCGGTACATATATTTAGTAATATTTCCTGGTTCCAACTTGATATATTGGTTATTTAAATATGTCTTTCTGTTTTGTTTTCAGTGTTCTTGAGCACTCCATGACTTCTTAGTAATGTCTTATAGAACTTACTTGATCACCATAATGTTCTTGAGATTTGAATGATGCAAAATTGATAGTTGCATTGATTATAACATTGATTATAAGTCTAATTAAATGTATATCCCTGGTTTAACTATGCTACATAGCTAAAACATTACTATTGTTATAAAATCAGCCTACAGTACAGTTCTCTATACTATAGTGTTTATTTTTTCTCTATACTATATTTTTAACAACTAATTCACCTTATTCAGTCAATTTAGTACAGTGAGTCTATTAACCTGCAACTTTACTAAATTCATTGAAATAGGTAATAAGCAAAAAATTATTGTAGTCTGAATTTATAGAATGGTATCTTTGTAGTTATGTAGAATGGTCAAGCCATGAACCAGAACCAGGTGCGTTTGACTTCACTGGCATGCACGACTTGGAGACTTTCCTGAAGACGGCACAGGAAGAGGACCTTGTGGTTATCTTGCGACTTGGCCCATTCATTGATGCAGAGCGAGATATGGTCAGTTTCATATTTTAATACATTAGTTTAAGTACTTAAGATGAATCAAGAGTTGAATGTCATGCAGTGACCTTTTCTGAAAGACCCATTAGCTCTCCTCACCCCAATGAGGTGAAAGGGAGCAGATAAAAAATTAACTACAAAATAAAGGAAACCCACTTAACCCTTAAACTGCGTAACACGTCACATGACGTGTTGAGTAACTTACCCAAAAGTGCGCATCACATCAGGTAATGTGTTGGAGTACTACGCAAGATTTAAACGGCTCGCGGATTCACGGGGTTCACCTTACCTTCATCTGGGCTCTTGTAAACAGACGCCATTTAAAAAAAAAATCATGGGCCACATTCCCGGGTGTGAGGTCCTCAGTACTGAGTGAGCCACCAAGGCTGATGCACACAGCATGAGCTCACAGCACTGCTGTTCAGCTGGTGACCACAGCATCACCTAAAAATGCCATAATATATATATGTACATGCTACTGTTTAGCAATGATAGTATTACATAAGGCCCCTGACTATGATAAAAATGACCAGGATTCTGATAATAGCAGGATTGTTGCGATAATTAGTGCTGTAGTGGGAGGAATAATCTAGGTGGGGGAGGGAGGTAGTGTTGTCTGCTGACTCTGTGTGACTAAATTTTACTGTCTGGAGTCACTATACCAGCTTAGTTGTTCGCTATGGTGAACAAAACATGCAGATACTGATATATAAGTCTGTACTACATTTTGGTGAGGGAGGTGGCGACATCTGCATGATATAACATGCTGGGTAGGGGTGGCACTATGCTCTTTGGGCACTATACCAGCTTAGTTGAACAGTAATGGTGAACAGAACATGTAGATACTTATATATATAACATCTGTATATAGTGAATGAAAGCAAAAAACAGTATGGTGGGAGGAGGATGTGGGCGAGTGAAGAGTCATTGAGGGAGGGAGTGGCAGCGAGAGGCTGACTGGCAGATGTAGTGGTCATACCTCGCTGCTTTTTGACTCGCAATATCAACTTAGTGGTTCGTTATGATGAACAAAACATGCAGATACGTATATATAACCTGTGTATATAGTGCAATAACCGACAAAGCATTTGTTTATTGTTTTATGAACACAATAATTGAATCAATAATATGCACATCATAATTTTGAGTACAGCAATGATTCACCTATTATATTATATAAATATATCACATTACACACTATTGAATAATATTACAGCAAAAAAAAAGAAGAAAAATCAATCAGAGACATTGAAATAATTAGGTAATTATCTGTTTGTGGCCACTCCTGCCTGACAGCTGGGGCTGAACAGACCGCCTCAGATGCATGCTGAATCAGCACCTCTTTTTTGCCAGACTTTCCCCACCCTATAGCGGGCAAAATATGCTACTTACGATTTTATTTTGTATTTTTCCCATGATCAGGGAATACAAATTAATAGGTTTAGAAGATTTTTTTTTTTATGCCCCTGTGGGTGACAATGGCCAAATAGCCCATAGCAACACAAGGGTTAAGGCATAGATGCACCAAAACAAGTGACTGCTTGAAATTAATTAGGTACTGCTTGGTAAACAAGTAGAACATTCATTGCCATTACCCTGGCTGTAATGTACCCGAGCGCCACCAGATTGCACCCAGAGTCATCCGAGGCCTCAGCCAGCCTGCCTCCTACTTTTGAGCTACTTGTTCAAAAAACCTATAATTTCACAGGAAAAAGGAAACATGACAGAGATTGAGAGCTACTGAGGGTCAACGAGAAAACTACATTCAACACTTGTTGAATGTAGTTAATTAATTTCTGGGTTTGCCCTGCAACTAAACACTAAACACTCTTGTTGGCGTATGGAAGATGGTGAGGAGGAGGTGGGGGGAAGAGGAGGAGAGGTGTTAGTGTTTGGAAGGGGGAGTCCCCCTTCCATTATAACATCAGACAATGATGACTTCTCTGGGGTTCTTTCTCTCCTACGTTTTGCCTGCATACCACTAGGACATGGTTGTGGCTCACTGCTTGTTTTTCTCACTAAGAATCTTTCCATAGAGACTTGTTTTCCCTAAATTATTTGGAAAAACAAGTATTCCCTACATTTTTCCCTATAAAAGGGGGTATGATATGCCTTTTGCCACTTTAGCACTCATAATGTTCTTATTTTTAGCAAGTATGGTGGATATCGTTGATATAGATTTGTTGTACTGTTTAGCAAGATCAACAACCGCACACCATCTTCATAAACATTAAGATGGTCTGTGGGTTGTTTTTCCTCTATGGTCATTCTGACATGAGTTTTCTTAGGTTGAACCGTACCACTGACTTTCTTGGGACCCATGGCATAATATATAATAATTACTTTTATGTTAAAAAAACTCACAAAAACAATGAAATTCTTCACAAAAAATTCAAGAGCGATCGTCACTAAGTGTGGGCGGTCTGGTAAACTTAAGTGGGGTCGCCCGTGCCACCAGGAACCACTCGCTCTGTCGACCCGTACGTGTATCAACAAAGTTGCAAGTCGAGGCAAAGGTCTTAAGTCGAGTCAAATTTTCCGACGAAACTGGGGCTGTAACTCAAAAAATTTGTAAGTAGGGCATTTGTAAGTCGAGGTCCCACTGTAGGAATAAAGCAGGTGGCCCAGATAGAGTATCACCTTGGGTTCTAAGAGAATGCACATTTGAGATGAGCACTCCACTTCAATTGATTGTTCTGGCATCTTTGTGTACTGGAGTCTTGATAAATATATGGAAAAAGGCTAACATATTTCCAGTTTTCAAAAATGATAACAGAGAAGACCCTCTTAATTACAGACCTGTATTGTTCACAAGTGTGGTAATCAAAACACTGGAAAAAGTATTTTAAATCAAATGGGTAGAACACTTGTTGTGTTATGATATAATAACAGACAGTATTGTTTTCAAACATGAAGGTTCTCTGTAACAAGTCTATTGTAATATACACAGATTTTGCAAAAGCTTTTGACAAATGTGACCATGGCATTATCACACACACACAATGAACACAAAAGAAATTACTGGTAAAGTAGGGAGATGGATCTTTACCTACCTAATGAACAGAACCCCAGAGTGTAATACTAAGTCAAATCTGGACTATCTACCATGAAAAGCTCAGTCCCCCTGGGTACTGTGCTTGCTCCTGTACTTTATCACATCCTCATATCAGACATACATAAGGATATAAACTATAACACTGTATCATCCTTTTCAGATGACACTAGGATTTTCATGAGAGTAGATGATATAGAGCAGGATTCAAACTTTTTTTTATAACGCACTTCAAGTAATATTAAACAGCGCAACTGTCACAAAACGGCACAAATCATTTATATATGATATATTTAAAATAGTTAAAATAGTCCTACACATACATAGAGCTCACATCTGCTTCCTCAGACCACCAGTAACCATCCCCCATCTTGAAAAAAAATCCTGAGTCTCTCACTTTCCTTCTAGGGCCTTTGTAAGAAAATGATGACCATTTTTTTTTTTTTTTTTTTTTTTTATTATTTTCTACCACAAACGTGGCCACACATTTACAATGCTAACCAGCGCTTGGCAACATCACCATCCAGTATCTGAATGCTTAGGGCAGCCATAGAGGAGACACTAAACTTTTAGCAATAGTGTACAGTATTATTATGAATAAGTATGTGGGTATCTTTATATCTTTACTAGTATATCCATATATACTTATATTTTCAAAGTTTTACATAATAGACAGTAACTTTGACACACAAATACAACCTGTTAGCATGAAAAGACTAAATTAATAAATTGAGAAAAAATGAAAATAAATCAACAAAGTTATTCCTATGCGGCACCTCAACTTAAAATACGCAACTTCTCCAGGCCACTACAGCTGAACCACAAGAGCTAGAGACTTTTTATTTGAACTTCTCCAGGCCACTACAGCTGAACCACAAGAGCTAGAGACTTTTTATTTGAACTTCTCCAGGCCACTACAGCTGAACCACAAGAGCTAGAGACTTTTTATTTGAACTTCTCCAGGCCACTACAGCTGAACCACAAGAGCTAGAGACTTTTTATTTGAACTTCTCCAGGCCACTACAGCTGAACCACAAGAGCTAGAGACTTTTTATTTGAACTTCTCCAGGCCACTACAGCTGAACCACAAGAGCTAGAGACTTTTTATTTGAACTTCTCCAGGCCACTACAGCTAAACCACAAGAGCTAGAGACTTTTTATTTGAACTTCTCCAGGCCACTACAGCTGAACCACAAGAGCTAGAGACTTTTTATTTGAACTTCTCCAGGCCACTACAGCTGAACCACAAGAGCTAGAGACTTTTTATTTGGATTTTTATGATTCCTGAAGGCTAAGTAACAATGTCATAAGAAAAAAATTATTTTTTCAGAACAATTTTTTTCTTGAGCGCCTTGGGGATGTTTGCTATTTAAGGGTTAATAGGAATTCATTTCATTTAGAACATTCCTTTAAATTTTATGTTCCTAAAAATTTTATGTATGGTACTGTATTATAAATGACATCTACAAGCATTCCCATGAATGCCATGTACTATAAATTACATTCATACACATTCCCAAGAATGCCATGTACTATAAATTACATTCATACTCATACCCAGGAATGCCATGTGCATTATTACAAATGACATCCACATATGTTCCCAGGAATTTCAAGTACTGTATTGTGAATGACATCCACATACGTTCCCAGGAATTTTACGTACAACAAATGACATCCACACGTATTTCCCCAAAATTCCAGAAGTTATTTAATATTTGTGTTTGATTTACACAGGGAGGTTTGCCCTACTGGTTGCTGAACAAGAACCCAGACATGCAACTCCGAAGCTCTGATTCCTGTAAGTGCTTACCTCCTAGTATTTACCTATTAGTGACCATGAAAAAATTAGTTGCCAGCTCACTGCTCTCAGTGTATTTCTCTTATCGACCATTCATGCAGGGTATGAGTATTTCTTAAGACTCTTTTGTATTTCCAGTTCCATTTATATCCTCTCATCCTACTTTCTCTCAATTTAAAGAGGCTGTCCTTCCCCTCAGTATCTTGTATGTTGTCATCATATCTTATAATAATATAAATAGTAGATTTTAATATATTTTAATATAACCATTTTAACGTAGTATCTTTATTTATTTATCACCAATGAGAAAATCATTGGAGCAGGATGGGGATTGAATCTGCGTCTCGAGTAACCTCCTGATGTGTGCCTTAACTCATGGATCACAATATACTAATGATTTTACCATACATATATCATTATTTTTTATTTTCTTGTGTATTTATCACTGATGCTTATATGATTATATTTATAGTATTGTGCGAACAAGCCTGAATGGTCCCCAGGACTATATGCGAATGAAAATTGTGATTGAAAATTATAGTATTGTGAACGAGAGTAAATGTATCTTTATATAAAGGTCAAGGTTTACAAATGATTGCACTGCTCTTCCACCCAGCTTACCTCACCTATGTGGACGACTGGTTTAGCAACATTCTCCTGCCTAAGGTTAAACCATTTCTCTATGAGAATGGAGGACCGGTCATCATGGTGCAGGTATGTTGGGAAATAATTGCAAGTTGAACTAATTATCTTTGTTCAAGTTCTAGACTTCACGTCCATTAAATGTTAGATGCAATGGAAAAATAGGCATAGTGGAGGCCATAAAAATGTTAGTTTTACAAATTTTCTATATAACTTATCATTACAGTACTTGTGGGGTCAAGGACACTGTGACCACTGCACAACATAGGTCACTGGAGAACATTATATTTCATTTATCTCAGAATGACTGACAGTGGTTGTATATAACCACCAGGTCTGGTGGTTGATGGAGTTCAAGGTATGCCTCAGTTCTGCAGTAGTTGAGTGCCATCTGAGCACTTCCCTCAAGCTTGCACTGTCCCGGGTTGCCAGGGCATTTTGTATAGTGTCTTGGTGGTCTTCGGTAGTTTTCATCTTTTTCCCCTCTGGTGTCTTGAGGGGCCTGTTCTGCCATCTACTCTCGGTTCCAAGATATCATTGACAACCTGTTTTTCAAGGATCCCATCTTAGAGGAAGGCGTTACTCCTCTTTCCTGTACTCCAGAAAACTTGTCTGGACAAGTTTGGTCTCCCTGAGTTTCTCCCTTGTCCCATGTTCTGCTTGACTTCCATGTTCTAGGTTCACCCTGTGTTTTTAAGTGTCTTGTGGCTCATTTTCTTGATTCTCAGCCATGTTGACTGGCTCATTCCCTACTATTCTGAGTTCAGAGTTTAACTTGGGTTCAGTATTGGCACCTCTTGTAACACTTTCTGGATCTGCTGTTTGGTCTTTTCCTGGATTCTTGATCTTCCCCAAACTGACTCGCATAGTCCTCCGATACCTTTTCTTTGAAGGATCCGCATCCTGGCCTACTTCAGTGACTGGCTAATTTGGGCCCCCAATCATCCGACTTGTCTTCTGGTCAGGGATTTGATTCTTTCCAAGCTGACCTGTACTGTCTCTTTGGTCAACTAGGGGATGTGGCAGTTGATGCATTCTCAGGGACTGCTGGATGGCACCTGGTCTGGGGTACCAGGCTAGCCTCCCTTTCTCTCCTTCAATCTATTGGTACTGCACAATTTTATTATATAATGTTTCAAAAAGCTGCTGATATTATACTTTTCAGTGTTGCATGTTAGTTTGGGGGATCTTAATTTATGTCATTAATTAAGATTAGTAGCTGTGTATCTCAAGCTTGAAACATACTGTTTATAATGTGTAAGCTCTATAAATTCTCCACAGGTTGAGAATGAGTATGGCAGTTACCCAGCCTGTGATTTCGCTTACACTTCACACATGCGAGACCTCATACGTCAAGGGCTCGGTGACAATGTTGTTCTCTTTACCACCGATGGAAATGGTGTCAACTACCTCAAGTGTGGGAAAATACCTGGAGTGTACAGCACTGTGGACTTTGGGTCAGGTAAAGAGAATATATATTTTGCTTCAGTGTTTAATATATTTGATCCAGTTTGTAAATATTGGTTTAACGATGAATACACTTTGCTTCATTCAACCCAATCAAAGTGGGGTTTGGAAATACTGTACAGTAATACAAAGGCAATGAGTTGCATATTAATATAATCTAAAGATTGGTGAATTTTGGGTTGTGTGGGATTTTTTATTTGTTGTATATATATATACAAGAGTTCTTACATGCTTGTAATGCCACAAGCACGCATAATGTTTTGGGCAGGTCCATAATCCTAATTTTCCCTGGAATATGACCCGTCAAATTGTTTAACAACCAATTTGTTACCCATTCACTGCTGGGTGAACTGAGGCTACAGTTAAGGATTGGCACCCAGTCAATCCTTCCCGGCCAGGATGCAAACCCAGACCAAAATGCTCACGAAGTGGCGGGCAAGTACTTTACCACTGCGCCACAGTGTAGGAACCACAACTATCGGTTCCAAATCCATGGCAAAATCATTTTGGCTTTTTAGCTTCCCTCTCTTTTCCTTACTCCATTTTATCCATTTTAGGGGGAGATGCAAGCAAGGAATTTGCAGCGATGAGATTGTTTGAGCCACATGGACCCCTGGTGAACTCTGAATACTACCCTGGATGGCTCGACCATTGGGGCACCCCTCACAGTACTGTCAATTCGGAGGTAATAGCACATGCAAACTAAATATTATCTTCCAGTTTTTATTATACACTTCAATTTTTTTTTTTTTACAGCAGGGTAAAATATATCTTTCAAAGCACTTTAGCAAGGTAAAATATATATCTTTTCAAAGCACTTTAGCAAGTAAAATATATATCTTTTCAAAGCACTTTAGCAAGGTAAAATATATATCTTTTCAAAGCAATTAAGCATGGTAAAATATATCTTTTCAAAGCACATTAGAAAATCATAAACTGTTAAATAAAATATGTTTACCATTACTGGAATATGAAATCTGTGAACTTATTAAACACTTGGATGGTTTATCTTCAAGAACTTCAAGAACTTATCATTTACTTCAAGAACTTAGGACAAAGTAAATCATGGGTTTACCTGTCAAAACTGCCCAAATCAAGGGTTTACCTGTCAAAATTGCCCAAATCAAGGGTTTACCTGTCAAAACTGTCCACAGCTTTAATAACTATGAACTGGTATATACTGTAGCTAAAATAGATTCTAAAATTCTAAACAAAAATACAGAAACAAATAGTGATCATTTTGAATTTAAAAAAAAATTCATTTGTTATTTCTAGGTCTTGATTCTCAATGGGTGGCTATGGCCAGCGGATAAAGAAATTAGGATTTATTTATTTATTTATGCATTTATGCATATACAAGAATGTACATTGTGAATGTGAGGATACATAATATGGTAATTGCAGTCTTGTAAAGCCACTAGTACGCGCAGCGTTTCGGGCAAATTTCGTTTCGGGATTATTTTATATATGGCCATTCTCAAGCACAAAACATAAGCATTGTATTTATACAAGGGCATATGCCCTTGTATTTGTACAAGGGCATATGCCCTTGTATTTGTACAAGGGCACCGTAATGCCCAGAGATAGTATTGAAGAGAACGTTTTGGCTGTAGCAACAAGATCTTAGCTATCAGTGTGGGAAGCATTGATACACTGTGTGAACTGTTTTGTCCTCACACAGCTGATTAGTTCATGTGTACAGATAAAATATGAATCACTCTTGGGAATGGCATAGGCTGGTATATTAAACTGATAGAACAGGAATTTTTATATATCGAGAACTTTTAGATCTTCTGAATGTTAACTTGGGTAAAACCTGTAACTCGGTCTGCACAGTTGGTTGAAAATGATTCGGTTGAATGAATGTAACGGTTGAATGTAACTTTAGTCACATTCTACCAACAGTGTAAGACAATTACACTGTTCAATTACAACAATTTCCCACTGGGAAATTGCTAACTTCCTCAATTGTCTGTTTACCCAAAGGCTACGATCCTTCTAGTAGCCTTGATTAGGACAGGGAGCCAACACCTTGTCAGAGGTCCCCCCACTGTTCCTGAGAATGTTTTCAACTGGACTTTGAACTGAAGTAATGTCTTGGCATTTCCGACTTTGGCGTGAATACGGATCCATGGATTCTTATGGGTGGAAAAAGGATGATCACAAAATCCACCAGAATAAATCAGACATCTGCCTCTGTCTTTTACACCATCTAGACAAATATAATGGCTGCACTAACTTCAGATATAATTACTGATGTGATGACTAACGACTACTTTACATTTTTCACTTGATGGGTTACCCACCAGTGCCTACATCTCTCTCTCACACACTCCCAGGTCTTCCCTCACCACACACACACCCTACCCCTCTACACACCCTCCCAGGTCTACCCCCCCCCCACCTTTCCCCCCCCCCACTAACACCATTCCGATGTTTACAATTATTGGAACTATGTTTGCCTTTTTCCACATGTCAGCTAGATTCCTTGTTTGGATGGATGTGTTTCGTACATTTCCTTTTCAGTCTGAGTATGTCTCCCATTTGTGATCTTTGGATTTTGTCTTCACTTCCATTTTAGTATTTTTTGGGGGGTCTAAACTTGGCAGGGACTTAGTATACCTGTATTATGTTTTTTTTTTTTTTTTTTTTAGATATATACAAGAGTTGTTACATTCTTGTACAGCCACTAGTACGCGTAGCGTTTCGGGCAGGTCCCTGGAATACGATCCCCTGCCGCGAAGAATCGTTTTTTCATCCAAGTACACATTTTACTGTTGCGTTAAACAGAGGCTACAGTTAAGGAATTGCGCCCAGTAAATCCTCCCCGGCCAGGATACGAACCCATGACATAGCGCTCGCGGAACGCCAGGCGAGTGTCTTACCACTACACCACGGAGACTGTTTATGAAGGTCGGAGTGAAGCTGCTGCTTGTATATAAATTTTTCAAATCTTTTAGATAATGTAGGGAGGCAGGATATTGGTCTGTAGTTAGAATTTGTTTTGTCAGGGACAGGAAGCCAGTGTATAGACGTGTACTGAGGTCCCCCCCCAAGGTTGAACTACTGACCCTCTCCACATCAGTTGCCTGGGAGTTAGGCCACGGAGTTTACTACTGTACTTGGTGAACAGAGGCATTAGGTGAAAGAAAGTGTGCCCAACTACTTCTGTCCCACACGGGAATTGAACTCAGGATTGAGTAAAAAATGAAGCCAACAGTGTTGGTTGAGATTGGTTGCCTGCTTTTAAGTACTGTACTGGTAAGCATTTTTTAAAGGAAGTATCTGAGGAATTAAATGGGCATAAATATAGAAATGGATCATTTTGAAAATCAAATAATCATTTATATTGGATTGTCATTGGGATTTTATTTTCTAAGTCTGTTCCTATTGATGTGAAGGAAAATAATAATTCAGTATTAATGTCACAAGCTGATAGAACTGGTTTACAATCTCCTATTGAATTTTATTAGTTAATTATTAGTTTTATATATCCCGAGACTTATGTGATTGACTTCCTTGTTACTCTGTTTGATTTTACTGCATGTATGACATGCCATACTTGAAAATACTCAAGGTGTATAAATGTATCTAGTGTATGGCACATCTAATCTGTTCATTATTTTATCTCAGGTTGTTACCAAGTCACTTGATGATATGTTAGCCATGAATGCATCCGTCAACATGTACGTGTTTCATGGCGGTACCTCCTTTGGCTTCACCGCAGGTGAGTCTTCTTCCTTATCTCAAGTGCTTCAAGAAATTTATTTATTTATTTATTTATTTATTTATATATACACAAGAAGGTACATTGGGATTGTGAGGATACATAGCATAGTAATTACATTCTTGTAAAGCCACTAGTACACGCAGCATTTCGGGCAGGTCCTTAATCTAAGAAATGATGTTAAATAATTGCAATTTCATGCTCTACTCTTAATTTCTTAAAATACAGTATATACAGTACTGTATCACAAAGCAAAGACTAAATATAAGTGAATGAACAAGTACACTGGAACCTTGGCTTACGAATGCTCCTACTTAAGAATTTTTCAAGTTATGTCCTGAATTTCACTGGAAAATTTGACTTTGTTGATACACGTATGGGTCGACGGAGCGCGTAGTTCCTGGTGGCATGGGCGACCCCGCTTTAGTTTACCAGCCCGCCAGCTTAGTGACGATTGTGCTTGAATTCTTTGTAATGAATGTCATTTTTTCATCTTTTTTGCTTTCTAAACATAAAAGTAATTATTATATACCATGCCATGGGCTCCTCAACAATTAAGAAGTGGTGTGCAGTATGGGAAGAAATGAAAAGTTTTGTTGAAACAATTTACCCAAATCATGCTGCAGTAGGCCGTTGCCTTAATCTTTTCAATAACACTGTGATGCCTTACTACAGACAAATGTTTGAACCTAATGAAAAACAAGAGTCTATGGAAAGGTTCTTAGTGAGAAAAACAAGCAGTAAGCTACATCCTAGTGATATGCAGGCAAAATGTAAGAGAGAGTACCCCCCAGAGAAGTCATCGCTGCCTGATGTTTTAATGGAAGGGGACTCCCCTTCCAAACAGTAACACCTCTCCTCCTCCACACCCCCTCCTCATCGTCTTCCATACGCCAACAAGAGTCATCAATAAAGGCAAGCTTTAACTTGTACATACTATAAATCAAAATATGTGTGTATTATGTATGAAATACATTTTGAAGTTAATATTTTTGGGAGTGTGGAACGGATTAATTCAATTTACATTATTTCTTATGGGAAAATTTGTTTCAAGCTATGAATTTCCGTGTTACGACCTGTCTCTGGGAACTGATAAAATTCATAAATGGAGGGGCCACTGTAGGTTCATAATTTAATTTAATTTTGTTTCATATGTATAAATTACAAAAATTTCAAATCCAAATTAAAATTAAAATTTTTATGCAAAAGAATGTGTGTACAAATAACATAAGAATATTGTACACTTGTTATCTTGAGGTTATCTTGAGATGATTTCGAGGCTTTAGTGTCCCCGCGGCCCGATCCTCGACCAGGCCTCCACCCCCAGGAAGCAGCCCGTGACAGCTGACTAACACCCAGGTACCTATTTTACTGCTAGGTAACAGGGGCATAGGGTGAAAGAAACTCTGCCCATTGTTTCTCGCCGGCGCCTGGGATCGAACCCAGGACCACAGGATCACTTGTGGGGACAGGAATTACACGTACTAATGAAACCACTATTACCCAAAGCGTTTCAGGCAAAACTTAATTTGGAGATTTTTTTTTGTAAAGGTGTGAAGGGGGTAAACATAATACTAAAAGTAAGCCAAGAAAATTTAGAAAGTTTATGAAAAATAAAAAAATGAATACAATACAAAGGTGAAACTTAATGATGACAGGCATAGACTATTGCATTATGGAGTCGGTAGTTCTAGCAACAGTATACCCTGGAAACACAAACCGAAACTGTCTTTATTTTCCGCTTGTTACAACTTGTAATAAAGTTATTACATCTTGGCTTAACGTGTTTATGACGTATTAGAACGTTGTTACAACTTGCTATATTGGTTGTTATAACTGGTTAGGTGGTGTTAAAACTTGTTCGAACGTTGTACCAACGTCGTAGTTTCGGTGTGTGTTTGGCGGGTAGTAGTTTAGTTACAATAATAACAGAATGGAACTACAAAGGTGAATTTTAGAAAAGCAACTGAAACATAATATAACAGAGTAATATAGTTTAATGGGGTCAACACTTGAAATGCATGCTAATGTACACGTTTTAAAAATAACAATTTGACTGTTGTAGAATTTGTATAAATCCTACAAATCTGTAAAACTTTTGGCTACTGTAGAATTTGCAGAAGAGAGAGATGTGTGTCTGCATTTTTGCAAATGAATTGATAACAAAATACAATACAAGGAATGCAGAGATACAGTGTAATTCTGTATAATTTCTTCAATGACTTCTACAATGAGTACTTAACTTACCAGAATCAAAAGCTTTATTTATAACTACAGTAATTTATATATGTTAAAGTTATGGCTGAATTAACAAATCAGTAGCCACAAAAAATTGTACCCAAACATATTGAATAACATTCTATAACTTAAAATTTAAGTGGTTAAACTTGTATAGACTTGCAGATTAGTGTCCCATTTTTATAAATCCAAATAGGTATAGTATAAAGAAAGGCTACTAAGCTATTACACACTGTACTTCAATGATATACAAAGTTGATGTAATTAGGATTTTTCAATTGTAAGTGTTTCTTGTAGCAGGAAATGGCATCTTGATAAGCTACAGGTAATTTAAGTACAGGCAGTACCCTTACTATGAACTAGTTATATTTTGAGAATGCATTCATAAAGCATTTGTTCGGAATGCGAAGCTCGATTTTCCATAGGTGTAATGCTATAAATGGGAGATACTTCCTGGACTATTAAAAACCCCTCACAAAAGCAATATTTTTGGGACATGGTAAGACAATTGTCTCGTGCTTCATGAGCGATTTGGCCTAGGTTCATATCCTGGCCAGGCAGGACTTATTAGGTGACAATCCTTAACTGTATGCCTCTGTCCACCCAGCAGTGATTGGGTATCTGGTGGGTCATATTGCAGGAAAACTAGTAGGTAAAGCTTACCATGAGCTATAGGAAGGGAAAGCTCTCAGCATGCTAACAGGAGTTAGCAGCTGTCTGTTCCTGTACCCACTGTATATAAAATAACACAGCATATTATTTACCTTGAACAGTGGCATTATCTAGCTGGTCAAAGTTAGCTTTTTTAAGAAGTGAAGGGATCTAGTTGATAGAGGTGACAAAAGATAGTGATGCGTCGGTGGCAGATGGTGGCGATGCCTTGGCTACAGAGGGTGGCTGGTAATTTTCAGTGTCACTGGCTGCGTTTGATGTGGGAGATGATGGGTTGTGGCACACACCTGTGGGTCGTCATCAGTGTCACTGGCAGCTGTAGAAGTCAATTGTTTTGGGTTAGAAATTTTCTTAAAGATTTTTGAGAGGCAATTGCTGGGCTGGAGACTTTGTCGAGAAATATTTTGTCAAAGTACTCTTTGCACAACTATCTTCTTCTTTTCCAAGTACATTTGCTTGTAGGGTGCAAGGTCATTTAATATAATTTTTGAGGTTTTTTACATTGTTGTCTTGCTCTTCCAAAATTGCCAAGGTATCATCTACCACCTTAAATGCCTCTGCTAGCATTATCTCTAAGGTAATGGATCGCCTTTTTCCTGGCACTGGTGTATTATTAACACTTCCTCTTCTTATCTACCATTGTTAATGGTAATTTCCTCGATGAAACCCAAAGACAGCACAGCATGCCTAGTCTGGGCACGAGAACATGTTGACTGTGGAGATGCATGTCACATTGTACACAGAACAGTTCACCAGCATATTTTAAAACCTACCTAATCTAACCCAACCAAACCTAATCTCACCCAAACAAATCTAATCTAACCCAACCGAGCCTAACACAGCATAATCTAAGAATGTTAACCAAATGTTAACACGTTAACCAAATGATATTCAAGTATACAGTTTTGACAATCGGAAAATAAGCTGTCAAAAAGTCTGGTGTCCCATTTAACAATACAATATCGTACCCCATCACTTCATCTTCCATAGTGGCCTGTGCGGATGTTTTTGTACATATTCCACCACGTGGCTGCCATGTGAACATTTTAGTGCACTGCTGCATAATACTTGGGAGGCTCCAGTGAGATTGTACAGGGATTTTATGCATCAAGGGGGAACAAGGGGGACTCAAGAGAATGGTCGTGTGGACAAATGTTTGTAAAACGAATGTTCGTATAGCAGGGATGGTCTGTAATTAAATTTGAATTTAAATGCTGTAAATAATATATTTTAAAATTGATCATTGTGTGTCAGGAGCCAACAAGGGGTCAGCGTTCCAGGCTTGCCCAACATCATACGACTACGATGCTCCGCTCTCTGAGGCAGGCGACCTAACTGAGAAGTACTGGGCCATTAGAAATATTACACAAAAGGTGACTGTATTCAGCGCATCCTAGTACCATGTATAGCTTACATCTTTACCAAAGCTTGGTAATGGTGGGATACTTCATAAAGTGGTTTAAGAGTAGGAGTGAATCTATCTAGCCTTTTGTTGCTGAATTTGTAATTTTATTTTATCAGTTATAACTTCTTTAATATCTTACTTTTGGTGTCATTGTTAATTTTAAATTTTTTTTATTATTATTTGAGAAAACTTTTATGCTGTTATTAGTTTATCAAATATTTTGTTATAATTGATAATGAAACATTTGGAAAATTAATTACAGCTTTAATCTAAAATTATATAGCAAATGTTATAAAGTGAAATGAAAGATAAAATGTGTCATGTGTATGTATTATGAAGGTTAGTTGGTGGACCTCAATAAGCCTAACAGGCTTCCTGTCTTTCCTGCCTCTGACAATGAAAGACAATTACTATCCTGTTCTCACCCATTTTGGGATCTACACCTATTCCTTTCACCTCATTTACACTGCCGATGCTTAAATATACATATTCATTTACTCATATGATACCCGTCACTCACTGCTCTTCACAGTACCTTCCTCTGCCATCGGGAGATGTGCCGCCGGCTTCCCCCAAGTACAGCTATGGGAAGGTACAGTTATCGTCAATGGGCAGCGTACTTCAGATGACTTCGCTGCTTCAGTCTGCCACAAACAAGTATCCTCTCACCTTTGAGCAACTAATGGTTTCAAATGGTATGGTCTTGTATGAGACAGTCCTTCCATTTAGGATTGTAAGTACCTCTGTGAGCTTATACTTAAAGATATACTGCAGGAAATAGTTGGCTAATCCTTAGGTGTAATTTTGTGGTGTGGTCCGTCTTGTGTACACAAGATAGTTAGACAATGCTTACTTGCTGATTATCAAAACTAACTAAACGTATGTATGTGTATGTGCTGTATATGTACAGTATATGTATATATATACCTATCTATATATATCGTTAAGCTTGGTTAGGTTGGATTGGGTTCGCTTGATTAGGTAGGTTTTAAAATCCATTGGAAAATCTTCTTGTGTAAATTGTGGCTTGTATCCATAAATTTTTAGGTATTTGGGTTTGCTTTTATTATTTTATGGACTATATAAAGCCACAAGGAACCAAAATTTATGGAGTTGGTTATTGAAATATAATAAGTAAGTCTTGTTATTAATGCATTGCTTTGTCCCTAAGGATAGATTGAATGTGTTTTTTTTCCTGCAGTGGCATTTTTTTGCAGTAATTTATAGAGGCAAGGCACAAGAATGGTGTTTATGGTACTGTATGCCCGAAACGCTCTGCGTAATAGTGGCTTTAGGCATTGTATGTACTAGCTATACCTATAAGTTAAACAATCCTTGTAAATATTTATTGTATGTATGTACCTTACCTAAATAAAATTGTATTGTATTGTATTGTATTGTACTGTATGTTGTTTATTTGTGGGGCTTGCGCTATGTATACTGTTATGAGGCATGTAACGTGTATTACGGGCTTATATTATATAGTACAGTATATTGTTGTTGAGTTTGTAGTACTGTATTTTAGGGTTTGTATTTTAGGGTTTTGTATTTTAGGGTTTGTTGTATACTGTATATATTTTGGGATTGTAGTATTTGTATTTAATGTAGTATTGTAGGGCTTTTAATGTTATAGAGTTTTTAGTATGTATACTGTGAGGCTTGTAGTACAGTACTGTATGTATATTTTAGAACTTGTAGTATAGCATACATATTTTATTATATTTTAGAACTTGTAGTATAGCCTACATATTTTATGATTTTGTTCTTATCAGAAGAGAAAAGAAGAGTTTGTGTAGGTTTTGATATAAGTTGCATAACTGTATATTATTAAACATTTTGATGTTGTAGATGGACATTAGTGACATTTCAAATATTCAGATGATTCTCACATTGTCTTACATTCAAAAAGTTACATGGGAACTTTGTAGACCGAGCCCACAGGGGTTTTCCAGGGGCTCCTAGGGTGAATAAGCCCTACAGGAAGCCCAGGCACTGGGGCCAGCTAAGCCGGTAACCCCTGTCGATGTGAGCAAACCAACTGCAAGCAGCCGCCGTAAAGCCTTGGGGGCAACAGAGGAGCACCACCAATGCACCCTAGACATAGCCTAATGAGGAGCTAGGCAGAACTCCTCTGTGAAACCAGGCAAAAACTGCCAACTAAATAGAAAACACAACAAACCCCTGAAACTCCACAACAGTCAACAAAACAATCAGAGAGAAATGTCAGCTGATAGCTTAAACAGGCTGCGCCAGCTGCAGTGCGCCCCACCAGCAGAGAAACACTTCCCTACCCAAGGTAAGGCAGAAAGCCTAAGACCGTCAAGGCTCCCCAAGGGTGAAGACAACCACAAGGGAGGAGGTTCTCTAACAAGGAGAGAGTCCTGAATGCCCCAGGGAAGATAACCTGACCATGCAAGTGCAGTACTCGCAGAGCTCCTAGGGAAGGTGTCACTAGACGCAAGCAGCTCTGGAACCCAGGAACTCTTGACCAGCGCACACCACAAGTGTAGGAATATCCTTACAAGGCAAAAATCCCAGAACAGGAAATCATGGTCAGAGGCGTCATCCGACCGCCAAGCACATCAGTCAATAACTGATGGTTGGGTAGCCTGGCTCACCTGGGTTGGTTTCTCCTCCCATTGGGGTGTGGGGGGGGGGGGCACTAACGAGCAGGGGGCTAGTTGAACAAAGTGTTGTTTGTTTTCGTTGAAGGAGTTCTTTTGCTTTTTTGAGGACATGGGTTTCAATTTTCAACCAGACAGTGGTCTGTTTTGTTTGGCCTACCTTTCTGGGTGCCTTCCATGGTTGATGGCAAGTATGACATACTTTAAATGTAGAGTGCTCATGGACCATTGCTCCCTGCGCCTTTCTGAGAGGGGCCAGGTTCTGGCTCTGGTACCCAGAAGGCAACAAGGTAGGTCCCCAGAAGGTAACTCTCTGCGATTGATGACCCCAAATAAGATAGCACTATACCAGTGGAATAGCTTCAGGGAGTCTCCGGGGCTCACCACACAGAAATAGAACACATCTTTAGCTATGTTTACGTCCATCAGCATAGTGCATTAATTATTATTACCTGTGCATGACTTTCATGGGGTGTGAGAGTGGGAGGAAGGCATTACCCCATAAAAAAAGGTGAATAATAATGTATAGTGAAACAAAGTTATAGATATTAAATAACGACAATAAAATATAACCTATGTAATCATTATATCATTTACGCTACATAAGAACAAGGTTAAACAAGCACCACAACACTCCAGCAGTCATCCACAGCAACACCTCACTGCTTCATGAGTACAGACAAATACAAACAAATACACTCACTCATTATAAGCTACATCCACCTAGCCTTGCCCCTTTCCATATCCAGTATGATGTCCATACTCCACACTGTCTCACACACTCGTCTCTCGCTTCTTCCTGGTCTTCCTCCTCTCCCACACACTCACTTCACCAGTCTACCAGCTGGTAGAAAGTAGTAGATAATAATGTCTTCATCTCCCAAAGCACCTCGGTACATTCATCTCAGTCTCATGATATATCAGCTTTGCACTCTTTCTCCATGATATCATCATTCTTCACTATCTATTCTCTTAATACCATATGTGCTTCTCTAATAACATATAAACAATGCATTTTGAATAAAGAATAAAAAGATAAAAAATTTTGTTTAAACATTTCAACAAAATGTGGATTCTTTGCTGTCAGTCTGGTTAATTGAGGCTGGCTTGAAAATACAAATTCCTTATCTGAACTTTTAACGTTTTCACAGTTTCAAAATTGTTCTGGATTTTTAACCTCTAAATTGTACAGCAATTTAAAGTACTGTACAATATTGCAACGTGTACAATAAATATTAGTCAACACATCAAATGAGAAAATATTGCGTGTGAAAACTGGAGCTGTGTAAGAGTTAAGGTTACCAGATTGATATACAATGTTATAATCCAGGTTTTTGAGGTAACGCACTGTACTGTGTATAATGCCTGTCATCATGTGAATATAGTGTATTAAGCTGTGAACAAATCATTAAATAACTGTATCACAAGAACATCTTCTTTAACAGGCTGATCCATCCCGCCTGAGTATTAAAGAAGTGCACGACAGAGGGTACGTGTTTGTCAACTATCGGCTTGTTGGGATGGTCTCTCGGGAACAAGAGCTGTATGATTTGGCCATATCTGCCCTCCCTAACCAGACCATCATTATAATTGTCGAGAGTCAAGGGAGGATATGTTATGGTTCAGAAATTAACGACTTCAAGGTAATGTTGAGTAGTATTACATAAAAAATTTATATGGAGAGAAATATTTTTGTTCTTTCTTACTAATGGTTAAGCTATCTAAGTAACTTAATAAGCTGTTTGCATGCATGTACTGCAATTACCCAATTGTAGTTAAAGGATGCAAGCTACGATTGTAGCCTCCCGTCTACCCAGTGGGAAGACCCCCAGCGGACTGGGTTTGAATCCTCTGAAGGGTCATAGTGTTAATGATTTTAATATATAATAGAGTATATATATATATATATATATATATATATATATATATATATATATATATATATATATATATATATATATATATATATATATATTATATATATATATATATATATATTATATATATATATATATATATATTGGTGTATACTGGCAGCAGGTTTTCTTTCAAACATGTTTCATTGAATATGACCGCATATTCTGTATTTATTATTTTCTGGTTTAGGGCTTCTATCCCTCTAACTATTTTCTTAGCATCAGGGCTTAATTGCAATAGGAGTTCTCCAAAACTCATTTTCGTACTTTTAAGGTGAAGAAAAGAAGTGATTTACTATAGAGTGTATTACACTTATTTGTATAATTTGCACGACGTTTCGAACCTCCATGGTTCATTCTCAAGTGAACAGATCTTACAATACTAGTTGATTTTATACCCGCATTAGGTCAGGTGATAATACAATGAAGGTGAAAACATGGGGGGATACATAAGGGATAAACATAGGGCTGCAGAAGGCTTATTGGCCCATACGAGGCATCTCCTATCTAAACACAAAGATTAATCCAGTGTAATTGGCCTGTTATGTTGGACATTGTCTTCTGTGTTGGCATCGATATGTTCTTGTCTTGTCCTTACTCTCATGGTGGGTAGAGTAAATAGTTCCGTGATTTGGGTGTTCATGGTAGGTCGCTCTATTCTTATGTTTTTTTTTTTTTTTTTTTTTTTTTTTTCTTAGCATCAGGGCTTAATTGAAATAGGAGTTCTCCAAAACTCATTTTCGTACTTTTAAGGTGAAGAAAAGAAGTGATTTACTATAGAGTGTATTACACTTATTTGTATAATTTGCACGACGTTTCGAACCTCCATGGTTCATTCTCAAGTGAACAGATCTTACAATACTAGTTGATTTTATACCCGCATTAGGTCAGGTGATAATACAATGAAGGTGAAAACAAGAACAAGAACATATCGATGCCAACACAGAAGACAATGTCCAACATAACAGGCCAATTACACTGGATTAATCTTTGTGTTTAGATAGGAGATGCCTCGTATGGGCCAATAAGCCTTCTGCAGCCCCTATGTTTATCCCTTATGTATCCCCCCATGTTTTCACCTTCACTGTATTATCACCTGACCTAATGCGGGTATAAAATCAACTAGTATTGTAAGATCTGTTCACTTGAGAATGAACCATGGAGGTTCGAAACGTCGTGCAAATTATACAAATAAGTGTAATACACTCTATAGTAAATCACTTCTTTTCTTCACCTTAAAAGTACGAAAATGAGTTTTGGAGAACTCCTATTTCAATTAAGCCCTGATGCTAAGAAAATAGAGGGATAGAAGCCCTAAACCAGAAAATAATAAATACAGAATATGCGGTCATATTCAATGAAACATACATATATATATATATATATATATATATATATATATATATATATATATATATATATATATATATATATATATATATATATATATATATATATATATATATATGCAGAATAACCACATATGAAAAATAGAAAATGCTTAACGCGTTTTCGGCTAATTCGCCTTCATCAGAGCAAAGTAGAATGGATTCTACTTTGCTCTGATGAAGGCGAATTAGCCGAAAACGCGTTAAGCATTTTCTATTTTTCATATGTGGTTATTCTGCATACTTGGATCAGTGTTTTTGTGATCATTGTTGCATATATATATATATATATATATATATATATATATATATATATATATATATATATATATATATATATATATATATATATATATATATATACATATATATGTATATATATATATGTATATATATATATATATATATATATATATATATATATATGTCGTACCTAGTAGCCAGAACTCACTTCTCAGCCTACTATTCAAGGCCCGATTTGCCTAATAAGCCAAGTTTTCCTGAATTAATATATTTACTATAATTTTTTTCTTATGAAATGATAAAGCAACCCTTTTCTCTATGTATGAGGTCAATTTTTTTTTATTGGAGTTAAAATTAACGTAGATATATGACCGAACCTAACCAACCCTACCTAACCTAACCTAACCTATATTTATAGGTAAGGTTAGGTTAGGTAACCAAAAAAGCTAGGTTAGGTTAGGTTAGGTAGGTTAGGTAGACGAAAAAACATTAATTCATGAAAACTTGGCTTATTAGGCAAATCGGGCCTTGAATAGTAGGCTGAGAAGTGCGTTCTGGCTATTAGGTACGACATATATATATATAATATTAGTATATTTTGGTAGCAGTCTTTCTTGTAAACATATGTTGTTAAATATGACCGAAAAAGTAAGATTAATAATTCTAACACAAATTTTCTCAATATTTTTTATGTTTCTTTTTACTGTCGATGGTAATTGAAAAATCAATTCTCCAAAATTAATTTTTATTTCAAGTCTGATGCGACGCTTGAACGCGTTTCGTAATAACTTATTACATTTTCAAAGACTTTAGTTTACACACACACAACTGTAATCTGAAAACACTAAACAGAGTTTTACTTATGCTAACATTATACAGCTTGTCTTATATACTCGCATTTGGGTGAGGTGATATGTTGCAACAGTTTTGGATGAGGTGAACAAACTTTTGACCAACACAAGACAGAACACTGAACAATGGGTATAAATTGGATAAATGAGAGGGAAGAATGGAAGTAACTGCAATGGGCCTATTGGCCCATACTTCCTCTTGATGCTTCTATATTGGTACGGAGTCTTGAAGTGGGTAGAATAGTTGTGCATTAATTGGCTGTTGATTGCTGGTGTTGATTTCTTGATGTGTAGTGCCTCGCAGATGTCAAGCCACCTGCTATCGCTGTATCTATCGATGATTTCTGTGTTGTTTGTTAAGACTTTTCTGGTGATGGTCTGGTTGTGGGAAGAGATTATATGTTCCCTGCTACCAAAATATACTAATATTAAAACGCACGACCCAGCAGGAAGAAATCAAGCCTTCACGATAAAATATCGCCAAGATCTGATTCGAAATCAGATACACAAGGCAGAAAATGAAATCAAAGACAACAAAACGCAACTGCTTCATGCTACAAACCAATGGAGAAACAGCAACATCGACGAAAACCTCCATACTCATATCGAGCAACACCTCGATACGAGGTGTTGCTCACCTCACAGATCGACATCACCACAGCACCGAAACCAGAATAATCAAGAAACTAACAACATCATATGGAGGACCTATGGCGATTCCATGACCAAGAGACGGCTTCTTGAACCTTGCAGGAATCAACCTCACTGAGGACCAAGTCACTCTCCTAAATCTGGGTATAAACTGTCACGTTATGTCCAGAGCAAGTGAGATGGCCCGGAAAGTGGAGTTGGAGATCCTGTTGGACGACATATTCGACCTAGAGACACAATAGAAGGTTACCACCAAAGACACCTTGCAAGCTGAACTTATTGCAGAAGGAGGAAAGAGTCGAGGCAATTACAGAAGCACCATACTGTCCCCCGAGCTCAAAGCGGCAGCTAAGAGCCTTCGTGAGAACAAGGAGATAGTCGTCAGAAGAGGTGACAAGTCGCCAATATACGTCATTCTTAAAAAAGACGAATATCTGGCGAAAATGAATCTCATTCTCTCTGACCAAACTAAATTCCAAAGGGTAACGAAGGACACTACAGCCGAATTGAAAGCAAAGGTCAACAAATTGATCGAAACTGTGAATGCCAAGAAATCCGGACTCCACCTGCCAAAGATTATTGGGGAATATAAGCCTGGATACGCATATGGAAATGTCAAGACACATAAGCCTGGAAACCCACTTCGGTCAATCATCAGCCAGATACCCACACCCACGTACAGACTGGCGAAGTGACTCAACGGCTTGCTGGCTCCTTATGTCCCTTGCACCTTCAGCCTGACATCTCCAAAGGAATTTGTTGACTTACTGTGGGGAACACGGGCCACAACTATATTCTACCCACTTCAAGACTCCGCACCAATATAGAAGCATCAAGAAATATGGGCCAACAGGCCATTTGCAGTTACTTCCATTCTTCCCTTTAACTTACAAAATATTATACCCATTGTTTCGTGTTGTCTTGTGTTGAAAGTTTGTTTTCACCTCATCCAAAACTGTTGTAACATATCACCTCACCCAAATTCAGGTATAAAATCGAAGCTGTTTAAAACTGTTTAGTTATAGTTGTGTGTGTGTAAACTAAAGTCTTTGAAAATGTAATAAGTTATTACGAAATGCGTTCAAGTGTTGCGTCAGACTAGAAATAAAAATGAATTTTGGAGAATTGATGTTTCAGTTACCATCAACAGTGAAAAGAAATATAAGAAATATTGAGAAAATTCGTGTTAGAATTATTAATCTTACTTTTTCGGTCATATTTAATAATATATATATTCATGTTAATTGCTTAAATGTTTTAAAGGGGTTGACTACGAATGTAACCATAAATGGCCACATCTTGGAAGACTGGAAGATGATACCAATACCACTCACCAATGTGACTCGTCTCTCCTCTGCCCTTAAACGCCTTCAGCAGAAAATAACAAGCAGTCATTTATCTCCACAAGAACGTCTGGGAACTCCCTTAGGGGGAATGACTTTTTATGACGGCTCCTTTGATGTTCCCGATGATGGATCTCACCCTCAAGATACTTTCCTTCGTCTGGATGGCTGGGGGAAAGTGAGTTCTTTATAAAAGTAATAATATTTCATTCAAAACTATGCAAAGGAATATGTTATAAGAACATTAATCATATTTTTTTTTATAAAGCCACTAATTACAAAGGGTATTTTGGGCATATCTTAATATTACTTTATTTTGGTTTTAATGATACTAAAGCAATATGTTTGTGAAGTTAAATACATATACATGCACAGTGCATATAATGATTCATATTGTTAATTGATATTTGCCTATCAAATCACTTAGCAATGGAGCATGAGTTTAATAGAGCTTAACAATTAAACAATTGTTTATCTACCAGGTTCTTGGATTTGAGATCTGAAGTGATATTTGAGCAACTGAGGTTTTGGAGTAATGTACACTATACAAAACTACCCTCTACAACACACTACTAAACTACCCCTACAACACTATACAAAACTACCCTTACAACACTATACAAAACTACCCCTACAACACTATACAAAACTACCACTACATCATTATACAAAACTACCCTTACAACACTATACAAAACTACCCCTACAACACTATACAAAACTACCACTACATCATTATACAAAACTACCCCTACAACACTATACAAAACTACCCCTACAACACTATACAAAACTACCACTACATCATTATACAAAACTACCACTACATCATTATACAAAACTACCCTTACAACACTATACAAAACTACCCCTACAACACTATACAAAACTACCACTACATCATTATACAAAACTACCCTTACAACACTATACAAAACTACCCCTACAACACTATACAAAACTACCCCTACAACACTATACAAAACTACCCTTACAACACTATACAAAACTACCACTACATCATTATACAAAACTACCCTTACAACACTATACAAAACTACCCCTACAACACTATACAAAACTACCACTACAACACTATACAAAACTACCCTTACAACACTATACAAAACTACCCCTACAACACACTACTAAACTACCCCTACAACACTATACAAAACTACCCTCTATAACACTATACAAAACTACCCCTACAACACTATACAAAACTACCCCTACAACACTATACAAAACTACCCCTACAACACTATACAAAACTACCCCCTACAACACTATACAAAACTACCCCTACAACACTATACAAAACTACCCCTACAACACTATACAAAACTACCCCTACAACACACTACTAAACTACCCCTACAACACTATACAAAACTACCCTCTATAACACTATACAAAACTACCCCTACAACACACTACTAAACTACCCCTACAACACTATACAAAACTACCCTCTATAACACTATACAAAACTACCCCTACAACACACTACTAAACTACCCCTACAACACTATACAAAACTACCCTCTACAACACTATACAAAACTACCCCTACAACACACTACTAAACTACCCCTACAACACTATACAAAACTACCCTCTACAACACTATACAAAACTACCTCTACAACACTATACAAAACTACCCCTACAACACTATACAAAACTACCACTACAACACTATACAAAACTACCCCTACAACACTATACAAAACTACCCCTACAACACTATACAAAACTACCACAATATACAAAACTACTGCATCATACACAGCTATGGTGTATATCACTATACAAAACTACCACATTATACAAAACTACCACATTATACAAAACTACCACATTATACAAAACTACCACATTATACAAAACTACCACACTATACAAAACTACCACATTATACAAAACTACCACATTATACAAAACTACCACATTATACAAAACTACCACATTATACAAAACTACCACATTATACAAAACTACCACACTATACAAAACTACCACACTATACAAAACTACCACACTATACAAAACTACCACATTATACAAAACTACCACACTATACAAAACTACCACACTATACAAAACTACCACACTATACAAAACTACCACATTATACAAAACTACCACACTATACAAAACTACCACACTATACAAAACTACCACATTATACAAAACTACCACACTATACAAAACTACCACACTATACAAAACTACCACATTATACAAAACTACCACACTATACAAAACTACCACACTATACAAAACTACCACACTATACAAAACTACCACATTATACAAAACTACCACATTATACAAAACTTCCACATTATACAAAACTTCCACACTATACAAAACTACCACATTATACAAAACTACCACATTATACAAAACTACCACATTATACAAAACTACCACATTATACAAAACTACCACACTATACAAAACTACCACACTATACAAAACTACCACATTATACAAAACTACCACATTATACAAAACTTCCACATTATACAAAACTACCACATTATACAAAACTACCAAATTATACAAAACTACCACAATATACAAAACTACCACACTATACAAAACTACCACTACAACACTAAATAATTTTATTATTATTACAGTACTAACTTCATATTATTACTCGTAAAATATATGTTTGTTTGAAACAATACATCCATTGCAGCTCTTTTTCAGGGTTGTGATTGAAGTTGATATAAACCTAACTAAACACCAACTAAACTCAGTATGTTTGAAAGAACTAAGGCATTTTGCACGTAGATCTGATTCTAATACAGCAATGAAATCATAATAATGTGATATATATATTGACGATAATATCTTTTCTTGTAAATTCAAGTAAATAATAGTATACATCGTTTCCAGGGTCTGGTGTGGGTGAATGACTTCTGTCTTGGTCGGTATTGGCCAGAGATCGGCCCCCAAGTGACGCTCTATGTCCCTAGCGGCATCCTCAAGACGGGAAGTAATACCCTTCTGGTGCTGGAGTTCGAAGTTTCACCGTGTCTGCTTCCCGACTCTTGCTTTGTTACTCTTCAAAATACCCATGAAATTAATGGAGCTACACCAATTTAAATAGTGTGTGGTATGTGTCCACTTAATGTTCAGGTAATTATGGCAGATTGAAGCATGCTTCAGTCACAACAGTTTCCTATCGGAGAATTTCCTGCATCATAGAGCTTCAACCATATAAATTGTCTTGATTGAGATCTAGATAAAGCAATAAATAGTATGAAGTACAAAGATATTTGCAAATTAACTATTGTTTGTTTATTCAGATACAAATTTTATAAAGTTGTACAAAACTACAAACTTGCACTCTTATGAGAAAATTACTTACTGGTACCATATTAAATTGAAAAGCTTGTATCAATTTTTTAGGTAATATCAGTATAACTTGCACGGTAGTGTTAGCTGCCGCTCCCACAACATGGCACAAGTCCGTAGAGATGCCCTTGCAACTTTCTCAGATTGGGCATTGTGGTGTAACAATATATGTATTGTGATTGCTGACATTTGTTTGCTTAACCCTTATCTGGAGGTTGTGAGAGTAACTAACATATAATAAACATTTATATTAATGAGGTAAGGTAAGGTATTTATCTGGATAAAGTGCCAAGCCAGTATTAATATACTGTGTAGCATTTGAAATGTATATGGTACAAGGAGCTGGGATATGATGGCGGGAAGGAATGATGTCTAACCACCTGAACCATCGGGGATTGAACGCCAATGTGCATGAAGTGAGATCGACAATATACCAACTCATCAGAGTGGATGGATAGTTCAGTTTTCTTCATACTTATGAAGAAGTGGCAGTTATCTTAACCCTTAGACATCATATGTCGATTCATGGGGTAATGCAGTTATAATTATATGATGATCTAAACAAGTACAGTGCTGTATTGTTCGGGTTTAACATGTATGATGCATATAGGATTTAATAGCTATGTGGAGGTAATGGAGATTATCTTGACCCCTGAAAAAAATCCAAGGAGAACACAGGAGTCGTGTCTCGCATAGCTCAGTGTCAGCAAAGTCAGCACCGTGTGTTGACATATGCCAGACCACAGCCACAGTGCAACCTTTCACAGCGCCTCCACCAAGTAAAATAGTAAACATTCACATATTTTCATATTTGTCTTACATTTTGCATAAAAATTAATAATTCTACAATGAAAAATTATTAATTTTTTTGCACATAGGCAGAAACGACCATTTTAATATAATAGCTGTCCAAGGGTTAAACAATTGGTCACTGGTTTAATCACTTTCAGGGAGCACTAATTCATAAACACTATCAGAGACAAGTGATAAATCACTGGTCTCTCTCATGTTCAAGAGCAAGTTACGTTTATTACAGTAAAGAGCATATTTTGGACTATTGAAATACTGTGCTACACATTGTGTTAAAATACAGCAACACACTTGCCTGAGTACTGTTCTTAAACATTTTACCTTTACATCAAATGTCAGGATATCGTCATGTTTTAAAGAGGCATGCATATTTAAGAACTGGTTAGTTATGTACAAAATGTGTTTATATATTTAGATGAGTAATGATTAAAGTCTTGGATATTCCTAAAATCTAACATAATTATTTCATAGGTATTCTGTGATGCTTCCCAATGTACAAACAGTTCTGATTCCATTGGAAAGAATCATGATAGTTTATTTCAGATACCCGTTGGGCCATACTGGTGCTAGAGAAACACTTTAGACGAGCTCAATCTAGCTCCGAGTGACATCTAAAAGGTTCATTCCCTTTGAAACCCAACTTGATATCATATGGATTGCCAAGTACTGCTCTTGGTAATTGTCATTAGCCCACCAAACCATTACCAATGGCAACATCAGGCGCTCTACTTCAGTTATTTACATTTCTGAAGCTTGATAAGACCTTCGCCTTCCATTCCTGTCCTTCCCATTCACTGTATTCACTGTAGAGTTGAACTGGTTTCTCCTTACGGTGTTGAATGTGCATCATATTGCTCCATCTTTTGAGTACCTAACCCTTCTTCTTCGCAATATGTGCAGTTTGCATGAAGGTTCTTCCTCCTGATGACTGCACAAGTGGTAATATAGAAAGATGTGGCACTCACAGTGGTGCATCAATGGTCATGATGTGGCAGAGGCGGGAAGATATCGACGTCTTCAATGTGGGCGAGGATAAAGACAAAATAAACACACGAGTGGAAAGGTACTCAGGATGGGAAAGATGAGGAGTGGCATGAGAGGTGAAAGCAAAGCGTCACAGTACTATAGGAAGTGTGGGATGTAGGCAAGAGACGGAGGTTGAGAGGTGAAGGACATTCGGGAGGCAGTTGCTAATCAGATATGAGAAAGGAAGGGAAGTGAGAGCACATGAAGGAACATGGGATAAAAGTGTATAAGGTTAGGGTAAGGCAGGTAGGGACAGGGTAAGTCATGTTGACGGTTTCCGTAGCTTCACATCTGGAATGCAATCACATTGATCTTCCTATATGCGCCAGTAGGACAGCGTGAGGAAGACCTGGGAGTGGGGTGAGGATGCGTCGCGGGAGTGTGTGGGGTATGAGGTTTGTCAAGCAAAGTGGCAGTGTGCTTGGAAGTAGGGACAGCTGAGAATTGCTTCCTCTTAGTACCGGGTGGTTGAGGTTTGCGGCAAGTCAGCCTGGGGAGTGACTCGGGGAAGGCGTGCCAAGAGTTATTGAGGGCATTTTCCAGCATCAGTTCAAACGTTTTGGAGACAGCAACGGTAGCTGCTGGAGGTTTGATGTCATAGTGGATGCGGAAGCGTGCCTCTAGGTCAGCCTCAGGAATGGGTCGGACGGACCGTGTTAAGAATTTAGTCAGGAGTTGGTCCAGCGTCTTCTCGAGTGCATCCACTAAGCGAGTGAGAAGTGAATAAACAAGATCGGGACTCAGGTGTAAGGTGTGTGGGAGAGAATTAGACTCTGGGGTTGCAGGAACGTCAGTGACGGACAGATCAAGAACAAGTAAAAGTGAGTGGTGTAGGAAGCAGTGGTTGATGACAGACAGAGTTAGAATGTTGCAGAGCATGACTGTAAAGTAGGTTGATGGCAGGGAGAGCCTTAGTTTGTGCCGCAATGTACGAAGGACATTATTTGAATGTAATGTCATGATCACCACCACAGTTGGAGCAGTAGAGTGTATCTGATGCAGTCACATGTGTAATGGGAACCAGAGCATTTCCCACATTTGAAGTTGGTGCAGCCTTTTGAGGTATTGTGAAAACCTTTGCATCAAAAGCACTGAGTGGGACATGGAACATACACCTCTAGTTTATGGAGCAAGCCGTTAATCCAAACCGAATAAGGGGAAAAAGGAGTCTAGAAAAGTTGATATTAAAGAACTTGGGAGTAGCATGATATAGGAGACTTTGTGCCTACTATTTCCCAAAACACTCCTATCAATGGGCGTATCATCATCAAAGGCAATGATGAAAGTTTGTAAACCAGAACTCGTCCTACCTTAGGTGAGCAAAGGATGTGGATACTGAGGTCGCGGAGGGTCACAGGGTATCTCAGGACGCTGGCGGTATTTTATCTCCAATCAGTTCACCTTACTGTGATGTTGATATTTACTGTTCAAGAAAACCCCCTAAGGATCTCTCTCTCTCTCTCTCTCTAAGGCCGGGAGATCGACGTGATCGGAATGTGTGCCATGTAACAGTGGGTTCTGAAAACCCTCAACGGTATCAGGAATGTTTGTAGGAGAGACGCTGTGAGCACCACCATCCGTTGCCGTGGTAGGCTGGCAAGTCCCTACTTTACCCTTGAGGTTTTTGTTTTTCTTACCTTGGCTTCTGGGTTTATGAGTTGTTTCTCAGGTTTCTGGCTTACTATCTTTTAGTCGTAGAAAATGTTTTTGAGTCTACCTATTCTCACCCCAGCTTCTTTACCAAAGTAAAACCGTATTCTTTCCTGAGGGACTCTATAATTTTTTTGGGCACAGTTTTTCCTTCCTCTCACCCATCGTAATTCTGCTGTTATCTTGCATTGGTATCTTCATCCTGCTAGGCGGACTCAAGCTACATCTCTCATCCTTAATCCATGCACCATATCTCTTAGCCGTTTCACAAGAATGGCTCAAGTAGTTCAACAATAGGTTCATCCTTGTACACACATCCTAATTTATAATTATCCTGTGGATATTTGTTAAAGAAACCGTTTTCCTTCACGATGTCATGCTCTAACATCCAAAGCGTGGAGGGTTCGGGAGAAACAACTATACATTTGTGGCACCTCCCTCGGTGTTCGCAACTGTGCTTACAGTGTGTAGCATAGTCGGCTCTCCTCCAGCCGACTCTTTCTCCCCCTCTTGGTGGAGGTCAGGGTGCCCTGCAAGAGTGCTTCATGGTCTGTTTCCTGGCCCCCGAGGGTTTGTTGGGCACCAATCTGCAGCACAGGCGAGAGCTTCCCATGTACCTTTACTCTCTCTATTTCCGATACACGTTGACTTGGGGAATACCTGGGTGGAATGATTCAGAAATTGTGCTTCAAGTGAATATGAACAGCGTCTTTTTTGACCAGGCCAAATGTCAAATATGGCATGAAAGGGGCTCTGAGCGAAAGTTCTAGAGGTCACTCTGGGCTGGACTCTGTGGCACTGGTGTAGAATACCACCCAGATCTGACTTCTCATAATCATTTTCAATAGAACCAGAAGGGATCTAGCCATAGGGAGCATCCAAGTGTCTTGATGAGAAAGGAATTTTTCATAATCACTCTCGGTCAAAATTTACAGGTGATATTTTTGAGTTTTAAATATATTTGCAAAGTTTCACCGATTTATTAGGAATAAATAAGATCAATTATATTATCAGGTATATATTTCTTCTTCAATACATTGGAATATAAGTATGGTTATTAGATTTGGCCAGACAAGAGGGGGACCTGGTACAATAAACTGATCTTTGTTCAAAATGATTTCACAATTATGTATCATGTTTAAGTAAAGGCTTTTATTTATACATCAGGAAGGCTCATGGCAAAACTACTTTTAGGCCTTTTATGTTATTTGTAGTAATCGTGCTAATGTTGTGTACTTAAAATGACATCATAATACTTTGTGTGTATTTTTGCAATTTCATTCTAAGAAATACATATTTGCACTTTATTCCATTCAAAAAAAAATTCTCTCCACATGTATACATTTAGCTTTATATTTTAAAAATAAAAAAAACAAGTCAATAATAAAATACAAAATCACAATTCTAAAGCTTTTTATTAAACAAGTATGTTACAAGGGGTCTTACTAACCCTTCTGCTGAAGTGCGTATTTATAGGTGATTTTGTTGTTCCATGGAGAGTGCAAAGCGTGCCTGCGAGTGTCGAGTCAAATGAGAACTGTACATAAAGTTTGCAAAACGTTTGGTTTGGTGTGTGACATTGAGAGAGCTCTGGGAATAAAATGGCTTTGCTTTGATAAGCTGGAGAAGCCTCAATGCCTACGTTATGGAGGGTGGCATCATCATATTCAGTTTCTGTTCAGTCTAATATACTAAAGA